CCCTATAATTTACTCTTCTTCCTCTATTTAAAAAAAAAAATCTCAAGACAGTAACAGCACTGTTCACCCAGACTGCAAGTCTAACACATAGGAAATAAAGCTCATCTTCTGGCCCTTTCTTGCCTTTACCCACACTGATCTGTTCCCTAGTCCCCTGGGTAAAAGACAGTAATGTTTTCTTACTCTTGGTCCAATGAAGGACATAATCAGGAATCACTTCCGGAGTGACAGAGGTGGGCTTGAATGCCAGCTCAATTGTATCTGCCCTGAGTATCCTGGGCAGATTCACATACTATACCCAATTTTCCCCTTAGTACAGTAGTTGTATTACTGGAACTAATCATAGTCATTCAGATTAAGATGAGTATCTATAAAGAACTCAGCACAGTGTCTGACACACCCACACTAATTGCCCTAAAAGATATGACCGCCTCTCCTCACCCCTACCCACCCATAACTGGCCTCCAACAAGTTTTGGAATTCTTTTCTTCTGATTGCATGCTGTCTGAATAGTTTATAACCACGTACCAAAAGAGATTGCTTAATTTATTCGAAAGGGGTGTAACAGAGACAGCCAGTGAGCTTCCATTCGCCAATTCACTCCCCAAATGGCCACAATAGATATAGCTGTGCCAGACCAAAGCGAGAAGCCAGGGACTGCATTCTGGTTTTTCACATGGATAGTAGCAGGAGACCAAGCACTTAGACCATTCTTTCTTTTCTTTTTTAAGATTTATTTATTTTTATTGAGAAGGCAGAGATACAGAGAGGAGAGACAGAGAGAAAGATCTTTCATCCACTGATTCACTCCCCAAATGACTGCAACAGCCAGAGCTGAGCCGATCTGAAGCCAGGAAACCAGGAGCCTCTCCTGGGTCTCCCATGCGGGTGCAGAGTCCCAAGGCTTAGGGCCGTCCTCAACTGCTTTCCCAGGCCACAGGCAAGGAGCTGGAAGGGAAGCAGGGCAGCTGAGATTAAAATCGGCGCCCATATGGAATCCCAGCATGTTCAAGGTGAGGACTTCAGCCGCTAGGCTACCGTGCCGGGCCCAGACCATTCTCCATATTAGCAGGAAGTTGGATGCAAAGGGGAGCATCCAGGACTCAAACAGGCACACCGAAATGGAAGACCCATACCACAGGCAGTCACTTAATCCACTGTGCCACAGTGTCAGCCCTGTGATCATATTTCCCAGTTTTCATTTACTCTGGATACATTTCTTACATTTTTATGAATAATTAATTAATATAATCAATTTTAACTATATTTGCAAATCAATCTAATCGGTTTGAGCTACAATTAAATGACTTCGTGTGCTTTTTTGCATTCTTGGAATTATATCTTTTTAACAGAAAACACCTATAGATTAGTTTTTATTTATATATTAATGAAAACCCTCAAATTAATTCTATGGTACTAAAACAAAGTTAATTTTTTACATGATTTTGTTTTCAAAACACCATCAAAGAGCAGGTTTCGGCACTGTGGAGCAGCTAAGCTAGTACTTGTAACATCTGCATTCTACATTCCATAGCAAAGTGTTTGAGTTAAACAATTCCGCTTCCAGCCTAGCTTCCTACCGATGTATCCTGGGAAGCCACAGATGATGAATCAAGTGTTTGGGTCCCTGTCACCACCATGGGAGATGTGACAGAGCGCCTGGCTCCTGGCTCCAGCCAGACCCAGCCTTGGCTATTGTGGGCATTTGGGGAATGAACTAGCCCAGGGAAAATCCATTTTTCTTCTCTCTGCCTCTCGACTAAATGATAAGATAGCTTTTAAGATTTAAAAAAAAAAAAAAGTAAGTTTTTAAAGGGCAAATTTTGAACCCAGTGGCTAAAGGCACCAGTTAAGATGCCAGTGAGCCATAGAATGCCTGAGTTCAGCTGCCTGCCAACACAAACCCTGGGAAATGGTGGTAATGTGTCAAGTGGTTGTGTCCCTGTCATCCGCATGAAAGGCCTGGATTGGGTTCGGGTTTATGACTTTGATCCAGTGCAGCCCTGGCCAGTGCAGGCATTTGGGAAATAAACCACAGAATGCAAGCTCTATTTGTCTCTCTTTAACTCCCAGATTAGTAAATGAACGATTTCAAAATCAAACCTTAAATTCTAAGCAAAATATTCATATCAAACTTTTGTTCACTGGATGTATTCACATTCAAAGTGACTTACCACTTGCTATAAACCTTTTAAAAAATGCAAATGTGAAATAGCTGGGCTTTTGAGCATGGAAAAAAAACAACCTGCTAGAGTGGTTGTTGGCCCCTGAGTTCCAATGACCTCCCCCATCCCACCTGTCAAGCCAACATTCACATTCTCTCCTTACTAATCCCTTCTTAAAGCTAAATTCAACTCCCCCTTATCCAGGGCAAAGGTTCAGAGAGGGAAAATAAGGACATTACTAACCCTGACTATTAAATGGCAACATATTCCACTGTCTACTGTCAGCTATGTTATTATTCTCAGCACCTCTTCCTCTTATCAATTCTGTCTTCTCCAGCCAGTATCAACAAACCTGAAGACTTACTCTAAGCCTTCAGGAGAAACGTCACTGTGATGCCAGCAGGTGACTGGAAGTGTGGCTCAGATGGTTACTTTGCCAAAAGACTGTTTAGACAGATAGCAAAGAATCTAATAGGAACTTACTTGCATGAAGACAGTCAATGGTGGAATTGGGTTAGGATTATTATTAGTTGAAATGTAATAAATGGAGACCCAGCGGAAGATTTTTCACTTTTAATTAAGTTTCCTTCTCAGGAAGAAATCTATCAGGAATACCAGAGGAAAAGGTTAAGAAATAAATTTCTCGTTTTCTTGGCCTAACCAAATCTGCCTATTCCATGTAGATGTGTGGGTATCACTAATCTTTGCCCCATCCACGATAAATGGAGCAGACATCGTATATTCCAGAAACTCTCCCAATTGCATGGGAATTTATTAGGAAAAGTAATTATTAAGTTTTTTTTTTTTTAAACTAGCTCTTACAGAATATGGCGTAAGAGTCCTGATACATATGGGTGGGTACTAAAAAGCAAAGCAGAAAAACAAAGAATGTTCTGTAAATTGAGTTTCAAAAGAGAAAAAAACATAGTTGGCTTGGGCAAGCACACTGTCTTTTGTATCAAATAGAACCTCAAAATAGATGTGACTGTGTCGATCTCTGCTAGCTCCTGATTCATAGATCCCATAACAGAGAAACAGAAAGATGGCTCAGCTGCAGAGCCCTGGGCCCTCACCTTCCCAGTGGCCTAAATCAATCCCCAGCCAGGACAAGATGCTGAGCGGGATGCATAAACATTCAGGCCACTAGGCTACACACTATTCCTGGCGACTGCAGCCAGTGCCATGCATGAGGGGCTTAACCCTCTTTGGTGATTCGGTTCTGCGTAAAAGAAGATGTTCCTCTAAGTCATGCAGCCAGATATGCTGAAAGGGCCAGCTCCAGTCCTGAGAGACAGACACAATCAAGGTTAATTTCAGTTCCTTTTCTGGACAGTTTAGCCTACATTTTCCCTGCTGCCTTCCTGACATCTGTCCTTATATTTTTATCTGGTTATCAAATACCTAGTGAGAGGAGTTCTGGCAGCCCCTGGTGCTTGTCCACTCATCCAAAGCCATCTCAGCCTCAGGAGTAACCCACAGAGCAGTGCTGCTGAACCAACCCGAGACCATGGTTGGGCACCTGGGAGAAGTGTCTCCAGTGGGTGTTGGGAGGGTAAAGGTGAGCCCAACGCCTGCTCTCATTGCGAGAAAAATGGAGTGATTCAACTTGCTGCCTCCCCAGATCTCTTAATTTTCTGGTTTGGCACTGCTCCTACACCACACTCAGTCATTACCTAACATAGAAGAGAGAAGGCAAATCTTGTCATTCCCATTGGGAAGACACTAAAAGAGAGGCTTAAAAGTTTAGAAGAGTTGTCTAAAGTGCTTTCAACGGAGTAGAAAGTAGATCGGCCGACAGCTGCCAGCGGTTTTGTAGGTCACAGCCTCTTTGTAAGTTTAGAAGAGTGCTTTACTTGCCATAGCCCTCCTTGAAAACTTCTATTTACTTTCTGGATTCCAGAGGAGCGGTACCAGGTGTACATTCCAGACACTTCTAGATATACACAGTCTGAGTCCTCTGTTGGGTACACAGCTCCAGGTTGAAGAGCTGCTAAAGTTAAGAACAAACTAGGCACTAGAAGCAGCAGGCTGTGATATAAAAGCATCTTCGTTATAACAAAAAGAAAAAAAAATTATTCTGGGTTTTTTCAAGTTGCATGGCTCTCCCCCAGTAGCTTCATTAAATAAATGCAAACACATGTGCTTCGAAATGGGTGGGTGTAAGAGAACATTCTGCACAATTATAGCTAGGCCGCCGCCGATTTGTATCACATGCATGCATATATCTGGGGGACATTAATTCATGATGACAGCTGAGCATGACAAATGCAAGAGTACACAAGTTGGAATGTCGAAAAGAAATGCAACTACAAACCCCATGCAGACAAAACACGCATATAAAGAGTCTTCCCTCAACACACACACGTGGCCGCACTTACAGGAGCTTAACCACATCGAAAAACTCCAAAACACAAACACCGGAGGCTCGGGCACCCGCGCTGGCTGCCCCTACACAAGCAGCCGCGCCTGCCCTGGTACACGCGGCTTTCCCCGGCAGCCCACTGCGCGCACACACACGCGCCACCGGGTCCCCGCGCTCGCCCGCCGGGGAAGCGGCGGCTCCCGGCGCTCGGGGGGAGCAGGGCCCGGTGGTGGGGAGCAGGGCCCGGTGGGGCGGGAGCGCGGCGCGGGGCCGGGCCTCGGCGCCCGGGGAGGGGACGAGGGGCGGGCGCGGGGCGGCGCCCGGCTCACGTGGGCGGGCGGGAGCAGCTGAAGGTCCGCTCGGGAGCCTGGGCTGTCCTCTCGCGCGCGGCGCTGGCCGGGGCGGCTGTAGCGGCAAAGGAGGAGGAGGAGGAGGACGAGGAGGAAGGCGGCGGAGGCGGAGGCGGTGGTGGTGGTGGTGGTGGCGGCGGCGGCAGAGGAGGGGAGGACGGGGGCGGCGTCGGACTGGAGCCGAGCGGCGGCACGAGCTGCCCGGGGCGCTGTCGTGAGCTCGCCCGCCGGGCCCCCACCCCCGAACTACACCCTGCCGTGCCCAGCTCTGCCCGCGTCCGTGCCCCCGCGGGGAGCGCGCCGGGGCTGCCCCCCGAATGACGGGCGGAAGGTTCGACTTCGACGATGGCGGCACCTACTGCGGCGGCTGGGAGGAGGGCAAGGCGCACGGGCATGGCATCTGCACGGGGCCCAAGGGCCAGGGCGAGTACTCGGGCTCCTGGTCGCACGGCTTCGAGGTGGTCGGAGGCTACACCTGGCCCAGCGGCAACACCTACCAGGGCTACTGGGCGCAGGGCAAACGGCACGGGCTGGGGGTGGAGACGAAGGGCAAGTGGATGTACCGGGGGGAGTGGTCACATGGTTTCAAGGGGCGCTACGGGGTCCGGCAGAGCCTATGCACCCCCGCCCGCTACGAGGGTACCTGGAGTAACGGGCTGCAGGACGGGTACGGCGTGGAGACCTACGGGGACGGAGGTGAGCAGCGTCGCCGGCGGCTCGGCGCGGCGGGTTTTGCCCCAGGGTGCGGGGAAGCGGGGTGGACGTGCGGCGCACGTGTCCGGGAAACCCGCCAAAACACCTGGAGACAGGTGCCCACCTTCCTGCCTTGCCTCCCTGCCGCGGAAGGCTGCGCTGGGGCGCAGGACCAGGGCGCAAGGCTTTGGGATGACCGGTTTCTTGGTGCGGGCTCGGTGTCCACTCCGAGGGGAGCGAGGCGTGAATATACCTGGCCGGCGCCAGGGCTGCACTGCCCCCGGGAGGGTTGGGCTGGAGCGCGGACGCTGTCACTTGAGTCCCGTCACAGTATGTTCCGGATCCCTCCCTCTCCCGGCCGGGTTTGAAATCGCCACTCCCGTGGAGTTAGCGCGAGCGCGCTGAGGCTGGTGTGGCTGGCGGTCCGTGCTGACCGCTCTCCGGATTGGTTTCACGTGGAGTCGTATTTCGCTCTTGGTCCTCTAGTAGCCTAAAGATAGAAGCCAGAAATCCATAACTAAGATGTTGGGGGAATTGGACCTTATTCGGGATGAGTTTGGAAACGTCCCTGTTGTTGGGATTCAAAGAGGCCACCTGACACAGATGTGGAGGCAGAGATGTAAAGTTTTCCCCTGGTTTTCATTCGGTTCTTGAAACAGCAGGTTTCCGAGCATTCTGGTGTTTTGAGGACTACTATACAAACTACCAGAGAAACCTGTTAGCGCAGCCACGTTTACAGCATCACAAGTGAAAGTTGTGTTCCCTCTAGCACCTGCCGTACTGGGAAGGTCAGGGCTAATCAGTAAGAGCTGCGTTCAGGTGAACAAAGAGCATCTTGTCTCTATATTCGCCAAAGACAGTGTTTGTCCTGGGACAGGAGTTTCCTTTTGAAATTAGAGCATGTGTACGTTGTTGAAACAGGTGTTCCAAACCTGATGCATTTCCTTGTGTATAAGGCTGGGGAACACGCGCAGCCTGAGCTTCGGGGAAACACATTTTCTGATAAACGTAGTCTTATTTAATTGAAAGGATTGTAGGAGGTGATGTCCCCCTTTGGAATTAAGCCACTCAGGATATTAAAGCAATCCAATTAAAAGTTGCTCCAGCCCACTGAAGCCCCAGTTATGCCATTGCTTATATAAAAGCTTATACAATTTGTACACTTCACTTACTCAGAACACTTGGGCCGTGTTTCAAATGCAAAACAGCAGAATGGTAGGATTTGCTAAAAAGGACATCTTTTCATCCTGCAGTATAAAGAATATGGTTCTCATGGATTAAAAGGGGGGAGAAACTTTCTCTAATACTTTTCATTGGGCTGTATGAGTCCTGGGTTCCACAATAGTTTAATCAGGGGCCTTAAATTGTCTGAAAAGACATTTAAAGTACTTTGGTTGACAGCCCTGTAAATATGTGGCTGGATTTTACTGGGGGCCCTGGCTTAACCATAGACAAAATCCCATGCTCAAAGTGAAATGCAAAATGTGGGCTTTTTTTTAAATTGTGCATTTTGTAACCTTTTAAAAAGGCTGAAGATACTTCTCTTACTGAGGTATTGGAAGGTTAAAAATAGTCACTTTTAAAACCTACTACTCATTAAAATCTCTTGGTTTAGGATCTGTTTTATACATAGTAATCAAAAAATATTACAGTAAAGACTGTTGCTGAAGCCCTAATAAACCTCCAAGATAACTTCATTAATAATTTGCTTTAAAACTAACTCTAATTTTTTTCTTTAAAAGAAGAAACCAAAAATTTGGTATCATCATAATGCTGTAGTTTTCTTTTTCTATCAAAATAAATCCACAAAAACTCACCATGCTATAATTAGGAAGAAAAAAAAATTTAAAATTCACTGTTGAGTGTCTTCAGTGCTAGTGGACTTGTTGCTCTGTTCATTTCATTAGAAAAACCTGTTCATAATGAGGGTTGCAATAAAAAGCAGTAGCTGCACATTAATGCCATTTAAAGGTTTTGACTTAGATTGGAATACCACTTTATTACTAAAAGTGAGCTTGTTTTTACCTATCCATTCCTGTACACTGTCAGATTTAAAAATCGGATGCATGTGTTTTGTGGTTACATTGAACTGAAAAAGGAATGAAAAATTCCAGGTGAGAAGTATCCCTTTAAGTTATTAGTGACTTATGTGTGGAATGTTGTTGACATAGAAACCCCTTGAATACTAAGTACCATATTCATGAACTACATGGCCAGGTGCCTGGGATTTCTTATGCAAATTCCAATCTGTAATTCTTTTTCACCTGTCATGAAACAACTGAGACCACCAAGAAATGCCCATTATTTCAACTTTTATCTTAAGTGTATGTCTACTTGCACATATCCATTCATAGCGTATAAATGTACCTCGGCACAGAACAGTTCATATTCAGCTGAAATTCATTCTGAGCTGGTATCTTCCACTGCAAGATGGTATAGTTAAAATGGCTGCATCCAAAAGAATCAGCTCCCAGAGGAACACAATTTAAAACAAACCTGTAAGAATTTTTATACTTGTGAAATATGCATTTATATTTTAGGAATCAAGAGGAAAGGATTAGAAGTAGAACAGCAGGGCGAAATTGGAACCCACCTGCTTCTTAAGGAAATGGTCCTTTTTTTTTTCTAGATTCATTCACTAGACTTGTTTTAAATTTTAGATGAACTACTAACAGTTTTGACTGTAAATTAGTTTCTAGCAATTGGGAGAAGGTGGTGTTTCCTTCCCCACCTCACCTGCCACATCCCTGTTTGGCAGCTCCACATAAATGTAAATTTCTGGACTTGCAATCGCTTGACTTTTTTGGAAATTCTAAAGACTTTCTTTTGGAGGGTGTTAGATGTTCCCATTCACCAAGAAGGCAAGGATGAGCTTAAGAATTTGCCTGTTGGCAGCATTTTTGGAAAATGCTCTAGCAAAACTTTCATTATGTAGAAGCGTTAGAAGGATATGCTTGTAAAATGAATTTAACCAAAAATAATAAAAACAAGGAGATTTTCAGTATAGAAAAGTCAGGTTGGATAACTTGTATCATAGAACTTAAAATTTCACCTAAATAGGCAAAGGAAAAGTCCAAGTTGAAATTTCCATTAGTTCGGTTCACTTTCCTGGTGAGGCGGCAGGGTTTTGGAGAAGGCCACTATTCTGTAGGGAGTGTCTTGCCATGAAATGGTTTAGTGACCATCTCATCTTTTGGGGGTATCCTTTTGAGAAAAGCACGGCCCACCCTGCTCCTTTACATGTGTTGGGTGAAGACATCACATCCACCCAGAATATATTATTCACAGTACCTGATCCATCTAGTGTGTCATTGCACCATAGTGCTAACTATATGATATAAATATGTTAGAATGAACAGCCAGTAATCTTGAATTTGGTCAAAACTTTTAGGAGCTATTCTAGTTCTAAGCAGCAATAAAATAGCCAACACTTGTTTACACAGTGATGAGAGACCACTAGCATTGTCAATGGTTTAAAAACTGTGCTACACAATGAAAGCTTGTGAGTGGTACTGTAAAACCCAAGTGTTAAGTCTATACAGTCAGAAGTCAAGATCGAACATAATTTATTACCAGTGATAGTGGAGGTTGTTATGGATAACACAGGAACAATTACATTTAAAAATTTCCAGATAGCTTCCTTTGGAAGATATTATTTAACATTTTCTTTGAATTAAAGGAAATGGCCTTAGTTTGAAGACAAATCCTAAATTTGCTAATTTAATGTTGGTATCCTCCATACCATGTTGTATTTTAAATCTATATTTTGCAGAAGCTCTCTTTAAAAATTATTCTATCCCTAAAAAGTATAGTATTTATTGAAGAGTGATCTGGTGTGAACAAGGTTCTAATGGGCATTGCCAAGTGCATACTTGCTCTGAGGTGAAGGTCAGGACAGAGCAGAGGGTTTCTTCTGGTCCCAACACCTTTCCTAAGGCAAAGAGCATGCTCCTTTTGAGTTCCAGGACCTGTGAGCCACATCTATGGGAGTTGAGTGCTCTTTTAAGGGTACTTCCTGCCTTGAGGGTGCTGCTGGTCTGAGCTGATCTGAGGGACAACCCAATGGAAGAGGCAGGGCATTTCCAGAGAAGTGTCCAGGGAGAAGCAGACATTTCACAAGTGACTTGGCACCAAGCTTGCCCTTTCCACTGAGAAGCACAGACGTTCAGTTGCTGATGTTTGTATAAGGATGTATATTGCGTTTGTCAAGTCACTCTCAGTAAAGTTCATTCAAATCTAAATAACAGTAGACAGTAAATAGTTGTCCTACCTTAAAGAAAAGGTGCGGAACAAAGCAGTTCCCATCCCAGCTCTCCAGGTAGCTGATCTGAAACCTTTGTGCTTATTGGAATGTAAATACTGACAGACCTAAAACTCATCTTTGTTTTTGTTATTTTTCTTCCAAATTAGATTCAGAAATAGAATGCAGAAGATGAAATTTCTGGAGTGTTGCCTAAAGGACATTCTTTTTGTTGTTGTTGTTAAAAAGTAGTGTTTTTCCTCTAAACACCTCTTTAAATGAAAGGTAAAATGGATTATATCATTGCAGACTCCTACACGAGTTCAATTACAATAAGGTCTTAGTGACAGAATTATAGGATGTAATAGATTGGATTTAGGGGAAGGGAGTGGAGTGAGGAAAGAGTGGATTTGATCCTGGATCTAACTTTCTGGTACCCTGGGTGCTGGTAGACGATCCTTGGCTCCTCTGCGGCCCCTGCCACTCATATTTTGCGCTCTCATGATCTCTCCTTGTCTCCCTCTCCAAGGTACCTACCAGGGCCAGTGGGCCGGCGGCATGCGGCATGGCTATGGCGTGCGCCAGAGCGTGCCCTACGGCATGGCCACGGTGATCCGCTCTCCACTGCGCACCTCGCTGGCCTCGCTGCGCAGCGAGCAGAGCAACGGCAGCATCCTTCACGACGCTGCGGCCGCGGCCGATACCCCGACCGGCACTCGCGGTGGCTTTGTGCTCAACTTCCATGCGGACGCCGAGCTCGCAGGCAAGAAGAAGGGCGGCCTCTTCCGCCGGGGCTCGCTCCTGGGAAGCATGAAGCTTCGCAAGTCTGAGTCCAAGTCTTCCATCTCCAGCAAGCGCAGCTCCGTCCGCAGTGACGCGGCCATGAGCAGGATCAGCTCCAGCGACGCCAATTCCACCATCAGCTTCGGTGACGTCGATTGTGATTTTTGCCCTGTGGAAGACCACGTGGACGCCACCACCACGGAAACCTACATGGGCGAGTGGAAGAATGACAAGCGCAATGGTTTCGGCATCAGCGAACGCTCCAACGGCATGAAGTACGAAGGCGAGTGGGCTAACAACAAAAGGCACGGCTATGGCTGCACTGTGTTTCCCGACGGCTCCAAAGAAGAGGGGAAATACAAAAATAATATTCTGGTTCGTGGAATAAGGAAGCAGCTTATACCCATAAGAAATACAAAAACTAGGGAGAAGGTGGACAGAGCGATCGAAGGCGCGCAAAGGGCAGCCGCCATGGCGAGAACCAAGGTAGAAATCGCAAATTCAAGGTAGGTAAACACAGAGGGTGGCTGATTTGGTCAGGTTGTTCCGTGGAGTAGCAAATACGATGTCAGTTTGCCTGCTGTATGGGTTATATGCCTGGTCCTCCCAACCTTCTTTAAAAAACCATGAAAGATACAAACTGGTTTAGCCCCGAGGGATGAAAGTCAGAGATGTACTTGGCGTGGATCTGAAATTTGTCAACAAATGATGTTCTAGTGACTTTTTCTTCCTGTCCTAAGATACTAGCCTGAATGATGGGTTCACTGAGATCCCATGTCCCTATTCCTGCATCTGGGAAGTTAAGAACATCTGGAATACTGTCCCAAGAAACTTGTATCTGGTGTGCCAGAAAAAAATGGGTGCCTCTATTCTAATACAGAAGTTAGAGGTGTGCATAATCCTCCCTATAAAATGATAATTTATAAAATTCAGATTTTGTTTGTTGGAACCTTAGAGGGAAATGGGTTTTGAAGAAGCCACTGATCCCACGATAGGACCGAACTGGAAGGTTACATGCAGGATTCAGCCCATGTGTGAAGCAGCAGAGCTGGTCTATGTGGAGAAGGCAGAGAGACTAAGGCATATGAGAACGGCTGCATTCGGGGCTGGGAAGATTAGATCATTGGTGTATTAAAAGGAAAGGGGTGGGGGGAATCTGACATGGACAGATGGGCCTCTGACTGTGCCAAGGTTGGAAGAAAGTGGAGCATTCAGGACCCGCTGGAGTGAGAAGGAGAAGGCAGGTGAATTGCAGAGTGATAGGTGGGGTGTGTGTGGGTATGGAAGGACTATCTACTTCAGATTTTCCCATTAATGGTTGGGTGTACAGATCCAGGAGTGGAGACAGACACACCTTATTGGGAATAGAATTTTTTCAGAGCTGGATGTCAGATGTTAAACAAAAAAACTGTTGTAACTGGGAATTTTTATTCTCAAGCGTGTTAGCTCTGTGTTTGGAGTAACAAACTTGGCATAAAATATTAAGAATTCTGGTTCTGCTTCAAGAAAGCTCTTCCAAAAAACTACACTTCCTGTTTGAAGGCAGATAAATAGTATTGTGTCTCCGGGATTTTGTTCTTGGCCTTGGATTAAAGACCACTGTCCGTCCTTTTTCTTGTTGAACCATATGAAATTTCTGACATTTGGATTTTTGAGTGTCCCAAAATTGAATTTGTATTTTAGAACTCCTTTCTTACTGTGTCTTTTTCAGGACTACTATTTCTTTTGTAGTGTCCCAAACACCAATTGGAAAATGAAAGAGGTTGTATTTTTTTTAAATTATCTTTTGGGTATAAAAAGTCTTCAAGATTTTTGTCTTTATCCCAAATGAATCCTTCTCTAATGTTTCTAGTTAATGAGCACACACTTTCCTGAAGGGTTTCTCCGATCTTAAGCATGGTTTAATATACACGATCATTTTCTCTGATAACCAGGTGTTAGATCTTGCTTTTCAAGTTGCTTATAGATGCTTGGCACATCTAATCTTTGGGGATATTTTCACAGTCAGTTAGCTTTTAGACATAGCAGTATTGCCTTTGCCAGGGCCTCATCTCTGATTTTGATTACACTCAAGAATTCTTCTGTTTTATTACTATCTTATAATTTAGCTGTATGCTGGAGGCAGTTTGGTCTTGGCAGGTGGAAAATGAGCCTGCTCAGGACCCTCTAGCAGATGACCTGTTCTAATTGTTGACTTTTATGATTCGTTTAAATTGTTGATACCTTCAAGCACAAGGGGGCTACTTCTGATGCAGAGAGCATCCATGCTCATGCTGCAGCTTCAGTATACCTCTTGGGCACAGCAGTGTTTGGGATTTCACATTTTTTTAAAAAAATTGGATTATTTGTATACATAGAGGGTGTTGTCATGGGGGTTGGACCCCAGTGTAATTAGGGCATTTGTGTATGTTGCGTGTTTATGTGTATCTTGCATCCATAGCCTAAAGGTAATTCTGCAGTGTAATCATCAAAGTCTTAACCAAGTCCTTGCCATAGTCTATTGAAAGCCTTTTAAGGGAAGTAGTATGTAGTTGAGGAGTACTGTATTATGTAATTGTAGTCAAGAAATGTTCAACTTAAGGTAGTACTTTTAGCTAATTTATTACTTCATAAATATTTTACTTAGCACAGTGAATTAAAGGTTGTCGAAATAGCTAAGTGAATAAGCCAGTCAGAAAGGAGGGTACTGCACAGCTGCCCTTATATGATATAGCTAAACTAGTCACACTCAGAGCAGCAGAGGGGAACAGTGGTTGCCAGCGGCCAGAGGGAGGGGGGATGGAGTGGCTGGCTGTGCAGCAGGTATACAATTTCAGTTATGCAAGATGGGTAAGTTCTAGAGACCTAGAGGTGAGCAGTGCTGTAGTCTGCATTTAAAATGGCTCAGGGGGCAGGAGTCCTGTAAAGTACTCTTGGCACAGTACAGTTTTGGTAGCACAATGGACAAATGAAAAGCATTCAACTTGCCTTACTCTGTTTTCCAAACTCTTTGCTATAAAGAATACATGAGATGTTGCTTTGGCACTTGTTTTTGGAGAAAACTGAAGGGCTGACATTTCCTTTATAATGGCTGTGCATTTAGAGTTGTCTTTTCAAAATTGTTTGATTAAAAAAAACAAACTCTTCTTATTTAAGTTTAAGAAATGTGTCCATGAAGGAGCTGTAGCTATTGTTGTCATGAACCCTAATTCTGTAAGACCAGAGGATCGGTACTTCCCTCTCTGTAGTGGCTGTTAATGACTTCTCAAAATATTGACAGTTGAAGAACATAAAGTGATACATGCCCCACCCAGCACAATGTGAATTAGCAACTCTGACTCCTGGTAGCTCACTCCTTCCCCCCCCCCCGTGAACAGCAGCGGGGGGTCAGCTAATAGTCACATGCCACTCAGCTTGTCCACCTGATGTCGGTAATCACTCTTCTCCCTCATTTCTTGCACTTCTCGGATTTACCTTTAAATCCCAAGGCACCCGGTCTGCCTTCGTAGCATCTTCCTAGTCTGCACTGAAGCAGAGAGGGAAAGAAGCTGCAGACGCCAGTCTCCTTGGGGCAACCAGGATGCACAGGGCCAACCTCCTCTGACCCAAGATCAAAGAGAAGAGTTTGTATGGGCCTTGAACAGAGAGAGAGCTTGTTGCTGAAGGCAGCTCGCTGGTGACTTCTTACCAGTTAGAGAATCTGTGGGCATGACAGAGTGGTTAGTAGGTAATAGCTGTTTGTAGACAGTTTAGCCAGCAGGTTAGCACTTAGGGAGTCGCAATCACAGAGTGCTAACAACTTTGCTGACTCCCACAACTTTCTTTTTTTTAGCCTGTGGCTCTCATCCAAAAAAAATACTGTGTTTAGGAGATTTCACAAAATGTTATTTTCCTCTTGTCTTGATTTTGAAGATATAAATCATCACCAGGGACAGGAAGGGGTCTCAGAGACCTTGTCTGCTAAGAATTGTCCAAGAGCCAAGAGAGCAGCCCTAAGTGTTTCGGCCAGTCGGCCTTGCATCTCAGTCACCAAGACTGTTCCCTGCCGGCGAACTTGTCTAGTTCTGTAATCCCCACCGTCCTATTTCATAGGTATAGACGCCACTCTAAGAGACAGATCTGAAAGAGCAGAACCAGTCCTCACGCCAAGGCTGTGTGGTCTTTGCTGCATCTGCCTAACCATTTGGTACTAATGTGGCTAGTCACTCACTTGTGAGTCCCTGGAATACTGGGTAGAGCTTGTAAGTAGGGCTTCCTTTATGTAGATGTAATAGACAGAGTCAGTTTTAGAGAGAAGACTGAGCTCCCACCCCCCAGTCCCAGCTTTGGAAGAGTCCCAGGGGAGCATATAGTCCCAGGCCCAGGCAGTCCACAGCAGAGATCGAAGGCAGCGACACCCATCATCATCTTGTTTCCCTTTTGGGTCTTAAGGGCTCTCGGTGTATTCCGTTAGCTCTTGCTTCCAGTCATTGTTTCAACTGCTCACATTATTTAAGACACTTTTCTCATGTGGATAGTTTCTACTCCCTTGACTTTCATCTTCTCTGATTCTTTAAGGCAGATGTTTAAAGAAATTTGTGCTCCTTGAGAAAGTTATCTTAAGGATGAATGTTAGTGAGACATTTAGTGGAGAAAACAATGAAGAAATGATCCTTAGATAATCATTATGTCATGTGAGTAGATCATCTAGGAAGGCTGAACTTTCCAAGAAAATTGTTATGACAGAGGATGAAAGATGTACATTGAGAGGGCTGGGAGAGAGAGCTGGCCCGAAGTCCTGAGCACCACAACCAGTTGCTTGTACCAGCTTGCAGCAGTATTAGGGAAAAGGCACACTCCCAGGTGAGAAGAGAGAGTTTGCAGCAATTCTTACGTTTTGTAGCCTTTGGCAGGTGCAGTGAACAGTCCTCCCTGAAGCTGCTAAAGTGGACTGGTGCGGAGCTGGCCAGGCTCCCAGGAGTGGCGAAGAAGAATTGGTGATCAGGACAAGTTAGCCAGTCACCGAGGACTGTGGTCTTGTGGCCCAGCTCTCCCTGAGCGCGAGTGGTGCCCCTTGAGGCAGTAACAGAAGCACCTAGACAGAAAGTGTCCTGAGGAAGCCCTCTTCTGTTCCCTGACCAGGGCCAGCCCCACCTGTATCATTATTGTCCTAGCTGTGGCTGCACTGGGTGACAGAGGCAGCCAGGTGGAATGTGGAGTCCCTCATGCTCGGCTGACCTGCCATGCGAGCGAGAGCTTGCCACCTCTTACTTCAGAACTGGAGGTGAGAATTCATGTTTGCCAATGGGAGACTTCACTATAGAAATAATGCATACTTTTTCTACAGGTGTTTCAAAAATTGCTTCCCAGGGAGTTCTTTAAAAGTGATACATAAGACTCTTTTAAAAGTTCATGGGAAGTGAACATAAAAGATTTATTTTGGTGCAAAGTTTGAAATCCTTGAATAGATTTTTCATAATATGTATTTTCTTGGAGCTTTTTAAAAACTCCCTCGTGTACATAGGGTGGTATTTTGTTATTGTTGTCT